TTAAGGTTAGGATTAGGGCTAGGGGTTAGTTTAGGGTTTGCTGTTATGGTGACTGTGAGGGTATGAGTTAAGGTTAAGTTTAGGGCTAAGGGTGAGGGCTAGGGGTTCGTTCAGGGCTGTGGTATGGAGTTCGGGTGAGCGTGAAGGTTAGAAGCAGCAAACGTCTCAAATGTTGGCGCTCTCCATTTCAGCAGAATGAGTCCCAGCCTCTGTCACTGGCCGTGGCCTCATCCGCTGACACACTCCAGCAGCCCTGGGTCTTGGCTGTCACACTGGCTGCCACTCACTGTCTAATCTCTAGATGGCAGAAGGTGGAGTCACCCAGCAGTGCTGGAGGCCAGGGTGTTATGTCACAGCTCTGCAGTGCTGGTGGTCTGTGGGCAGGAACTGGGCACCTTCGTAGGCAGAGGCCAGACCCTAAAAAAGCAAGAAAGAGAGAAAACAAAAAAAGGAGGCATGCAGAAAGAAGTGATTCTGAACTTCAGAAAAAGAAAACAAAGCAGCGTCGTGATGTGGTCTAAATGGAAGTTACTCTGAAACATAGCATGGTTCTAAGAACTGACCAAGACTAATTCACAGGAAATCTTCCAGCCTTGAGGTGTGAAATGGTCCTCTGGCAGCGCTTAGAGGCTACGTTGTGCATTGGAGAACACGACCCATGGTCCCAGCTGCCGCAAACACTGCTCGCACGTATGCGCAGTTGCGAGGGTTCATGGTGTCGCCTGGTTTGGAACTGACCCTCTGGACATGGCATGAAAGAGCTCCATGAGGACACAAGGCCAAGTGGAACTGGCAGTATGAACAGCATGTGGGAACTTCAAAAGGATCCTGTGAATGAAAGAACTTTCCAAATCACTTGGAAACCTGTGCCCACAGAGGTCTTGAGAATTCAAGTATATATGACAGACGAAACATGCAGACAGTTTAGATTTTGTGAGGTTTTGTGAAAAAACAAACAACAAAAACCAGAGACTTGGCATGGATCAGGCCCTTTGGGAAGCATGGCTGTGAAAGTGTAAGGTGGCTCCGGAATGGAGCTGAAGACGGGGACTCGAGGGGTGTGTGGGTGTGAGCCTGTGCGTTCTGTAATGGCAGGCAAGGAGTGGCTGGGCACTTGAGGGACAAGAAAGGGAAGATGCTGTTCAGAGTTATGCAAGTATCCAGAGAAAACAAAAATCACATCATGACCCAACTTGGAAGGTACAGAAGGTGAGGCTGAACAGTGTCAGCAAGCAAAAATCATCCTTCTCGGAAGGAACTCAGCGGGCCTAGTGTTCAGCTGATGAGTAACCTCCGGGAGACTTCCCCTGTGTGGAGTTGGGATGGCACACAGGGGACCATGGGAGAGACTTGGTATGTGGGGTTAATCATACGAAATTGTGGATTTAGGAGTTTTCCTGTGGATCTGTTTATTCCCAAGGGTTGGTGGAGAGGAATCTATTTAACCAACTTCTTGGGTGGGTTTTAGACCCTATTTGGGGACCCTGAGCTTACAGCCTGGGGTGAGCTGGTGATAGCTGCTCCCATTTTCTCAACCTCAGTGAAGACCTGGGAAGCCCTGAACTCCTGGCATTGTTGGGGCCACTGTGGACTGGCTGGGAAATGGAGGACCACATCTGACACCAACTCCTTATTTCTGTAGTGAAATACTAGGGGTGTGCTACAACAACAAAAAAGATTTATTTGGGCTCATGGTTCTGGAGGTGTAAAGATCTAGAGGGTCTCATTTGGAGGTGATGTTCTTCTTTCCTTAATTTTTACTCATTTGAAGAGAGACAGGGAAGACACACACGCCCACACTCACTGCTCTACTCGCCAGATGTCCACAGTGGGTGCGAATGGACAAGGCTGAACCCTGGGCTCAGGAGCCCATTCCAGGCCTTCCCCAGCATGGCAAGGATCCTCTCGGTGGAGCCTTCACTGCTGCCTTCCAGGGCCTGTGTTAGCAGCGAGCTGGAGTCAGGAGCTGGGGCATCACGCCTGGGTATTCAGACGTTGGCATTGCAGCGTCTTCAGCACTCTCCCTGGCAGAGGCCTGAGGTGGTAGGAAGCACCCCGTCTGTCTACATTCACTGCCACCCTCTCCCCCTCTTCACAAAGTCACCAGGACTCAATTATGGGGCTGCACCCCAACAACTTAATTCATTCTGAGGCCCTTTGCACTCCATAATTGGGTTCAGTGTCCACTGCCGTACAGCAGTAACTTGACACCGAGATTGGCCAGGCCCTTGGCTGACTTGACAATCAACTTCCCTTGGAGAACATCACTTGCCTCATCTTGCCCTGGGTGGTTCCAACTCAAGAGGAAGTTACCTACACATGGCCGGAGGGACTCCTACTTAATGTCCTCATTTCCTTTCTGGACTCACACCTTACTAATTCTGAAGTTCCCTCTGGTTCTCAATGGGAGCAATTGCCTTCTTTACCTCTGACTTTTGGGTGACCTTGGCCTTGAGGCTAGATGTCCCATGAGCTCCCGACCTTGATACACACACAGGGAAGGGTTTGGCGATGCCTTCGTGGCCACCCTGAGACAGAGATAGTTCATCATTCCACTGGCCAAGTGGCTATGGAGCCCTCAAGGAGTGGAGAGCTGGGCCATGCCTGAGGAAGAGCACCATAGTGGGAGTCCGGGACCCCGAATTCTCAGTGAGAACTGTGGGCCCCGGACGGGCTCTGTCCCTCTCATCCTTCCAGCCCTCCAGAGGGCTTGGTCTCTACAGCCCTCCTAGTTCCAGCTACCCTAGTTTGTGGACTGCAAGGGCTCTGTGAAGTGGCCTGGCATCTTCTGTATGTAACAGGATGTAGAAATGAAATGTTTTCATCTCATTTACTGAGGCTGAGGACAAAGTAGCAGATGTCAGACCACCCAGGCAGGGCTTGCAACAGCGGTGGTATGAGGCTCTTTCCATCAACAAAATCCACTGCTCAACCACAACCACGTGGAGGCTGGGGACCACCTGCTGCCACACATAATGCTGGTGGACAAGGTGCTTCGGTGACAATGTGTGCGGACTTTTTAGGAGTGTTATCAGGAAAACTAGGAAGTGGTTACACCTGAGGTTTGATCCAAGAGCAGGACTACCACAAATACATTGCTTTGCAACAGGTCAGAGATGCGACACAGACCTTAACTACCTTAAAATCCAGATGTTAACAAGGTGAGCACCTTCCCGTAGGTGTTTGAGGGGGCATCCATTTCCTGCTTTTCCCAGCTTCCAGGGACTCCCTGTATTCCCAGACCCATGACCTTTTTGTTCATCTTCCAGGCCAGCAACACAAGGCTGAACTCACGTGTTACTCTCCCCAGCCCTTCCTTCTCTCTCCCTTGCTTCCTTGTTAGGAAACCTGTGATCGCATCGCATGCAACTGGCAGCCACCTTAATGTCAGCTGATTGGCAATTGTAACTCCATGCAAGCTTCACTTCCCTGTCCATGACCTTCGTCGCAGGCCTGGAATTACAACACACACAGCTTTGGGGGCCATCATCCTGCCCTCCGGAAATGGGAAAGAGTGGGAAAAAAACAGAGTTGTTTAACCTGTCTTCAGCTAGCACTTGGTAGCAAACTGAGTTGTATTCGTTCTCCAGGTGAGGGAACTGAGGATGAGAGGGTGGCATGCATCCTCAGCTATGCTTGGAAGCTTCCTAATCCCCACTTTCCTCCAGGAATCCTTTCCTAATTAGCATGGAGTGTGGCCTGGGTCTTGGGAGTTTGTAGACACTCCCTAGTGAGTCTCAAAGATTGGCCCCACTGGGAAACCACTGCTGGGCCTGCTCATTTTTTCATTGTATTTCAAAAGCAGAAAAAGAGACAGAGACAGGGATAAGCTCCCATGTGCTCCTTTGCACCCTGAATGGCTGCAACAGCTGAGGTTGGGCCAGCTTGAAGCTAGGTGCCTGGAACTCAAATGCGGTCCCCCACGTGGGAGACTGGGACTCAAGCACTTGAGCCATTACAGATGATTCCCAAGTTGTGTATTAGCAGGAAGCGGAGACTGCAAGCAGAGCTGGGACTTGCACCCATGTATCTCCATATGGGATAGAAGGGTCCCCAAGTCTTAATCCCTGTTATTAAATGCCCGTCCCACCCCCACCCCCCCAGAAGGAGAGGGAGATCTGATACAGAGATGAAGGCCACAGGAAGACAAAGACTGGAGGATCACTGCAAGCCCTGGGACACCTACAGCCACCGGGAACTGGAGAGGCACGGAGCTGAGCCTTGCAGTGGGCATGACCCTGCTGACACCTGGACTCTGGGTTGTGGGCATTGGGGCCATGATCTGCTCCCGGCTCTGTGTCCCCAGCATCCTGTCACAGCCCCCAGGCCCAGCCTGATGGAGGGTGGTAGGCAGCACCAGGGAACTTGTGAGCCCCTCCAGCTGCATGCACCCTGGTTTCACCAACCATTCTGGGCTAACCCTGGGCCACACCAGGACGGCTGCAAGGCCACAGAAGGTAGAAACATCTTTTGTGACAAACACGTGAGCAGCTGTTCCTGCTCTCACGGTTAGGCATGTGTCAGGAGCAGAAAGAATTTGAACTGAAGATTTGTGCTCACAAATGTGTCCTGTGGGAGGGTGAAATGATAAAATTCAGCTGCTAATCTTGAAACCAAATCAACCGACAGCTGGGCCAGCTGTTGCTCCTTGCGCCCGCCCACTCTTTCACAGCCAATCAGGTCTTGGCAATTCTACTTCTTATAAGGGGGCTTTGGGGCTGTCCCTTGTCCCTGCCTCCATGTTCACACCCCCACAAGGACATGGGCCTAGTCTGTGCTGGTCTCTGGCCTTCACCGGCACATCCTGGTTCCCCAGCCTGGGGCCTGGTGTGTGACGGGGGCTGTGCATGTGCTCGTATATTGAAAGACTCCCAGGCTCAGGAAGTTAGGTCACAGTTTAGTGTTGCTCAAGAATTTTGCAAATGAGTGACGCATCATTGCACGTGGATGCTTTATTATCTGTGTGGCCATTTAGAGCAGGAAGTGCTGGGCAGGGAAGGACTTGGCAAGGTGAGTGGGGACCACAGGGCTGGTCACTTGCTGTAGCTCTTGGAACCTGGTTCCTCTTGGAGCTCTCCCTTCAACCCGGATCCAGCCGTTATCAACTCCTCCTCTTTGTCAGCCTCTGCTGACTGGCCATCCTTGACTCCAGCTGGAACAGAAGGGGCAGGTGCAGGTTGGTCCAGGGCAGACCCAGGCTTCTCCCTGTACCTGTCCCATTCTCTCTGGACTCTCAGGACTCCCGTTTCTGATGGACATTTCCTGTTTAGATCCTACAGTGGGTTGTCTCTAATGATTGAATCACTAGCTTTCTGGTCTGGCTGTGGGGCCAGGACAAGGACTTGTGGCACTTGGCCATGCCAGCAAAGAGCCAATGACTCAGACACCAAGAGCAGAGCTGAGAATCTCACACACATATTAGCCAGGCTCATGGGAAGGGCATGAGTCCTGCCATTCAGAGCACACAGCACAGGCAGGGCGCCTGGCTCACAGCCAGCAGGTGCTGAGACTGCAATCAGCCCCACCCCCACCCCAACAGAGGTGAACCTTTCCTGCCCCAGGGGTGTGGTTACCTGCTGACACCATCAGGGACCGGATGTACTTGGACCAGAAAGAGCAATCAGCTTGCTTCAGGCCCTGGCGACTGGGCAGTGCGATACTGAACTCCTTGTAGGTCTCGCCTCCAGCTCGAGGGACAAAGTCAGGCCATGGGGATGCAAAGGCTGGTGCTTTCCTGGAGAATGTGTGAGGGTAGTTGGGGTTCCTGGGAGAAGGAAGAAACATCCATGAGGGAGACTGGCCTTTTCTTCGGTCACCAGGATTCTCTTTGTGCTTGTACTGGTCTCCAGAGACCAAGACATGCCTGCTCGTGGGTCAGCCCTTGATCTGGTGGGAGCCGCCCTGCGGGCATGGTCAGAACTGAGTCTGGAGTTTTCTGAGCTCCCTTTCTCGGGCTTCTCTGGACAAGGGTTTTTCTGGATGGACAGGAGGCCCCGTGTCGCCTCTGTGCTCATGACCTCTGATTTGTGTGCCATTTCTGGATGGATGGTCCAAAGCCTGGGGCAGAGGGGTGAGTTGAGAGCCAGGGAGCTTTCCTGCTAATTCCTGGCCAATTTCCCCTGCGAGATGATATTGCACTCCCATTCTTGGACCCAGGTTCCTTCTCTAACCGGCTGCCCGGGTCCATCTCCTAAGCACCTGCCAGCCCCAAGCCAGTGGATGCCCATCAGTGTGCTTGCTCCTGGCTCTGCCTGCTCTAACCATTGCAGCCCTGGCTGCTTTCTTCAGGCTTTAGGGAACATCCTACGCACCTGCCAAGGCTTTACTTTCATGGCTTTCCCTTAAAGAAGCATGTCCTAAAGCCCTAAGTACAAGAAGTTGTTTCCCACTCAGCTCCCATAACAAACTACATTGAGCTTTCTGCTGTCCTGACTCATGCCTTGATCCATCTGTTTCTGGCCTTCAATGATCAGAGCTGGGCTGTGGGCTGTCTTTCCTTTTAACCTTTCCTGCAGACCTAGCATGGTTCTGGCTTATCAGCGCAATCTGGTCAAAGACAGAAAGGCAACCGAATCACCAGGAGGAGGGAATGGCAGGGCCAGTTTAGGAGGTGCAGTCAGTAATTATGCTAGTTGGGCCAGAGCAGAGGCAGCTGGGAGTACAGTGGGGCACTGAGCACTTTATGCTGAGTTACACTGAGGCTGGTAACTTAAGGCAGGGTGCTCTCCTAACCCCTGGGCAGAAAGAGAGTGGGTGTCTTCCCAGTGGTCTGCCCCCCCAGGGGACAAATGGCTGAGACATCTTTGGTCATTGTAGCTGGAACGGGGTGGGTACCATGGGCCATCTGGTGAGTGGAGGCCAGGGATGCATCGGACATGGCAAGGACAGAGCCAAGCCCGAGTGTCACTGGTGTCAAAGCTGGGAAACTGATTTCTGGATGATTCAGTCAGATGCAGCTGAACAACTGTGTCGTCTAGTTGGGCAGCTTTCCCTACGGAGCGTCAGCTACACAGAGGCAACGCTGGCTTGGAGGGGGAGCTAGAGACAGGTGACGAGGGGCCCATGTGGCAGCTGTGGAGAGCAGACTGAGTCCTCGAGACACAATGAGGTCACTGCATTTGGAAGAGGCGCGTGCATGAGTGTGTCTGTGTGCACGTGGTGGGGGCAGCACAGGACTCGGGAGAGAGGCCTCCTTACCCAGATCGGACGAAGTTGGAAAAATACTGCATGATCTTCAGAGACAGGCCTTTCTCCTCCAGGGTGAATTGGCCCTCGAGGGCCGGGTAGAAGGGCAGACCAAAGGCGAGTTGCACGTCTGTCAGCACGTTCAGGCTGGGGCAACATGGAGAAGAGGGGAGCAAACATGAGAATTCTAAACTGCGAGAGAAATCAAATGAAGCAGAAACCCCATGTTTCTCCCTAGAGCAAGCCTTTTCCCTCTTAACATGATGCTGTGGGCTTCCTGGTGGGAGTGGGGCGTGCTGGGGCTTGGGCTCAGCCCTCTGCCCGCTGGCCTCCTTAGGGCAGGCCCAGGCACAGTTGTTGTTGGAGTGGGCCCAGCACAGAGCTCTTGTTAACAGCACTGGGAAGCAAGTTCGCAAGAGCACTTGCTACACCCCACCCATGACACTGAGAGCACCACTGCATGGCTGTCTTCATTCAGGGCTGTATCCTTAGCCCTTTCTTGCCAGTCTTCATGGCTGGTATTCACTGGTCAGCCCACCCTGGCATGGTGACTGGTTCAGAGCTCTTGTCCATAACCCTGTCTGGTACTGCAAAGGACATGCAGTAGGTGGCACAAGATGAGCAGAAAGACCCAGAAGCCAGGCCAGTGTTCTGAATGGTCTGAGGCCATTGGGTGAGCTCTGTGAGTCTGGGAGGGGCCTCCCAGTCACCTAAGAAAAGAACTTGACTTTTCCAAGAGGGGCCCTGGCCCTCTGCTTCAGCGAGGGGAGTCACATTGACACCTGTCTTTGGGGATGAGGTGGCCACACTGAGAACATAATAGCTCTCCCCCATCTTCTGTAATCTCAGGTGAGGCCTGGCAGTATCAGAAGAATGAATCATGTGATGCAGGATGGAGATTTCCGGTCACATGGTGTCTGGTGACCCATCAGTGGGGCTGAAACACACAGGTGATTAATCACACCTATTCGAGTAGCCCTGACCAAAACCTTGGGACACCAGGGCTGGGTGAGCCTCCGTGGCTCGTGGCATTTCACGCACACAGTCACACATCATGCAGGATGGAGCCACATGTCAGCATCTGGTCGTGTGCCTCTCTTTTTCATCTGCAATCAGTTGGTGTCCTTTCCCTGTCATCAGCCACGATGTCCCGAGGGCGTCTGGGAGCCCCTGAATGTGTAGCTCGTGTCAGAAGGGGAGAGGTCCTGTGTATAGCTTGAGCCCTCTGACCTGGCAGGTGTCCCCAGCGGACGGTCAGTGGCAGATCAGAAACATGGAACCCAGAGAGGGTCCCTGACTTGCCCAGAGACACACAGCTCATTGAGTGGCCAAGCAGGATGGGACAGCTTGGGTGGCATCCACACCCCGGGGCGGAGGTGATGACTTCTGGTCTCACCTTTCTCTGAAATGCTGCTGCATACTCCACTCCACTTCCACCCAGCCACTCCACAGAGGAGGGGGCAGGGTCAGGAAAGTGAGCTCGTTGCCCCGAGGTCACTCAGCTTCAAGGGGGAGGAACGCACGGCAGGTGTGGGAGGCCACTGGGCGTCTGCTCTCTGGTTAGTGTCTGACTTTCAGGCATTACTGCCTCTGCCTTCCACAGAGACCTGCTCTCCTGTTTCCTCCAAAGAAAACAGCTCAACCACTCCTTGTGTCTGTGCAACCTTGGACAAGATGCACAACCTCTCTGGGCCTTAGCAGGAAGATGGCAACATAGTCACGCTTACAGCCAGACCTTGAGTGAGGGTCAGCAAGCAAGCACTGTGGGTGTCTGCCCTCAATTCTTTCTTGCATTTTTGTGTCCTTCCCTGCCCCAGTGAGCGGCCTCTGAATCCCTAATAGTGGGTGTCTCTGTGCTGGGAAGTGTGCTGCGGGGCCTGGGGCAAGCTTCTAGACACACACTGGTGTGAAGCTGTGGGCGTGAACTTGGCTGCAAAGACTTCATTCGTAGTCTTCATCAGAGTTTTAGGAAAGTATGTGCTGCTAAAAGTTAACCACAGGCTCGGGGAGGGAAAGAAACCGTATCTGTAACATCTGCCCCTTTCCATGATGGAAATGCTCCCTCAGAGCCCGTATCAAGCTGCCGGAAATGCCTGCCGTCACGTGTGGGGTGGGGAGGAGCCATGAGGGCTGGCCGTGAACTTACAAAGACCAGAGAGCACTGCTCTGGCCTGGTGGGCGGTGGGGGACGACGGGGGAGCCAGCCTTCCAGCCCAGCGGGGTTACTGACTTGATGTCCGTCCGTGCAGCACAGGCGGTCTCCCTCAGCAGGCTCCTGCACTGCCACAGTGCTTCACTCCTCCCGAGAAGGCATCGTGCCCGCAGGTCTGGAAACCCAATGCATCTGTTCCCACCGCATCTACCCAGAGCAAAGGCTCTGCGCCAGTTGTATGTGTCACAGGGATTATGGAGTTTAATCAAGCACACCGCCTCCCAGGCGCATGCTCCACTCCCAGGAACCCCAACCTGGCCGCAGCTCGCTTCTTTATGTTGGCATTTCTTAAAGAAATGTAAGAGGAGAATGCTACTGAGTGCTCCCCTCCCCCAGCCTTTGCTCCTGCTCCAAGTGAACGGATGGCAAGAGGAAGCAGGCTTGATTTACCTGTAAGATCCACACCATTGTACATTCCACCAAGCATGGCTTCTTACAGACCCCAAGCAACTGCCATCATGTGCGTGTAACTACCTTGCACACAAACTCCTATGTGAACTGAAACACCCTCTCCTTTCTGCCCACACTTCCCGCCACATTCCTCTTCGGTTCAGTCCCGCTCCTGCTCAGACACGCCAAGCCCTTTCCTGCCCCAGGCCTTGCTCCTCCTGGACAGCTCCTTCATGCCAACTCCTCCTGGCTCAGTTCTGTTCCAGGGTCGTGTCTTTCCCTGTCTCAGGACTCAGCTCACGTGTCAGCTTCCTGAAGGTTCTCCCCTCGCCACAGATGCTGGCCCCTTCCCAGCGCTTCCTGGACTCACTCTTTCCTTTCTTTCTCTCCCTCTTTCTCTTCTGATTTCATTGCAACAAACTCAGCAAGGCAGTCATCTGAAAAGCTGCTCCACTAAAAGCTGAAGGCCTCTGCAATGCATGGGCACATCTAGGATGCAAAACATCTCAAGCTGGAATTTTTGGTGTTGTTTTCCAGGGTTGGGTCAAATTAGAAAAGAAAAGCATGACTGCCTCATTGGTCATTTTAACTTTTTTGTCATTAGAGCCTTATCTTTTCCTAAAAGGAAATAAGCCAACTGGCCAAGTAGTGGACATTCATAGTACAGCAGGTCTCCAGCACATGCTCTATGAAGTAGGGACAACTGCACCCATTTCATAGGTGAGGAAACTGAGGTAAAGGATCTTGCTGAAATGCAGGCAGCTAATAAGCAGATGGGATTAGAACACTAGTTTTCACTGTGCTGGGCTGCTTCTTGCTCAAGCAACAGAACAGTGGAACATCCTAGCTAGAGCCGGAGTAAGAGTTAAATCCCACTCTGTCAAAAGGTGAGTCAAATTTGCTTCTCTCTGAATTATCCCTTGCACCCTCTGGGTGTGCAAGTGACACCCCAGGAGTCTGCAGACCAAGGAGCCGAATACAGTATACAGTTCACGTCTGGTAACCCTCCCTGACCTCATATGAGGCCAGCGAATGCTCTGGAAACTAGACCTCCAGTTGCCACAAACGGCTACCTGGCAGGTGCAACTAAAGGCAGGCAGGAGGCAGGGCAGAAGGTGGGGCACAGGGCTGGCCTGCCACTTGCTTGCTCTGGGAGGGGGTATCATGCCTTCTCCTTCCTGGCCTTTCATTTATTTGTAAAATGGAATTACCCAAGACCATTCTGCAGTCCTGCCAGCCTGGGAATCCGAAACTTCTCCTCACACAGCAAAGTTTAGTTTCTTTGTGTCCCTGCCTCACATCCATACACCTGATCCTGCCTTCCAGAAGAGCACCCTCAGTTGCAGAGATGGATGCTTAGGTCTTATCCAGTGGGCTGTCAGAGAACTGCATAGTTATTCTGTGAGCCATAAGCCACAACCTGCAAGGTAAGCAACATTTTATTGCATTCTGCTAGTTAGCTACTGCCAGGAAAGTTAATATATGCTAACAGGGATGGAGGGAGGAGACAGATGGTTGTAAAGCTAGCGTGCATGCGTGTAGACACACACACACACATACACACATTTTAAGCTTAGAGATGTGAGCCAGAAATAAAATGAGAGGTGTTGACAGAGCAGAGAGGGAGATGGGGAGAGAAAAGTCTTTTCTAGAAGAAGATAAACTTGCCAACGATGAAATGAGTTAGTGTCTGTGGCTCATTCATTGATACTGGTCTGTACTACAGGGATGGTGCCACACTGCCACCATGGGACAGGGACGCAGGGAGCTGCAGGGGGAGCTGTCAGGAATGCGTTCTGCAGCTATAATAAGAGGACACATCTCTTAGCACTAGGGCTTGCCAGGCCCTGTTCTCCAGAGGAATCCATCATCACTGTAGCCATACTACGAACATTAAACCATCTGCGCATGGAAACCATGTGGAGTTTGGGAACTTTGGCGACACTAGAACCAGGGGCATCTACTGGCGTCCTGAAGCTGCTGGAACCACTGAGCACGCCTGGGGAGACTTCAGTCATGGCAGTGCAGGCTGGGCATTGGGTATGAGGGCCACGATGCCCCTTGGGATGCCCACGTGCCCAACTGGGGTGTCTGGGCTTGAGCACCTGCTCTGCTCACAATCCAGATTCGTGCCAGTGCACCCTCTGGGAGGCAGCAAACGATAGTGCAAGCAGTTAGTACCTGCACCTCACATGTGAGATCTAGTTGGAGCTCCTGGTTTCCGGCTTCAGCCCAAGCCAGTCCCACTGCAATGTCGGGTATGGGAAGGGAACAACAGATGTAAGATCTATCTCTGGCATTCTACCTTTGGAATAAATACATGAAAAAAATCTTGAAAAATCTTGAAATGTTCACTTCTGGCAGTCAGCTCTGAGCTCCAGTCAGGATGTCAGCGGGCCATGCTCACTCTCGAGTCACCAGAAATCCTACTCCTTGCTCCTCCAGCTGCAGGGACTGCCAGCATCCCCTGGTTTCTGGTCACATGGCCCTGTCTCTGTCTCCTGCGCTCCTTACCTTTTCTGCTGCATATGGCACAAACCTCCCCTGGCCTCTCTCACCCAAGCTGCTGTGCCTGCAGTGAGGGCACACCCACGTCCAGATCCTTCCCTTAAGTCACATCTAGCAACGTCCATGGACCCATGTGTGTGTGGGCAGCCATGAGCCAGCCTGTTTCTGGACACTGTGAATGCTAACATGTGCTTGCAACAGTTTCCTTAATGCCATGCAAAGCAATCCTGATGCATGCTCTGTTATGAGCTGGATGCCAACCTCGAGGGTGACAAGCAAGGGCCTCCTGGTGTGGAAGCGGCCCCAGTGGCTCAGAGAAACAACGGAGTCCAGCCCGGGTGGCCCGGCCGGTGAGGGACCTCAACCTGTGCAGTTGGCACCCCTTTAACCAGCCCTGCAGCTCACAGATCCAGCCCTATTGAGGCTGGTTGGTGCCCCTGGTCCAGGCTGGAATGCATAACTTCTGCTCGGACACATAATAGGTCCCTTGGCAACAGTTACTCTGCTGGTACTCTGGTGTCCCTGAGGCTGAGTTCAGGGCAGGACAAGGGCTCACGGCCAAAGTGCTCCTGTGTGAAACTGAAACTGCTATAGCTGACCAGGGGAGTGGTGCCCCAGCTCCTTGCAGGGTCCCAGGCAGGTGTGGGCAGCGGATCAGATGGCCCATCCACCTGCTCCTGAGCCCAAGACAGGCAGTCCTATGACTCAGACCCCCACATGTGCTGCGCCCCAGGCCGCTCTGCTCCTCCTCCTCCTCAGCTGACACAGTGTTTCTGCCCCTCTGGTTTTTGAATCACCCCTGCCTTGATTTTAGGGACCCTGGGAGCCACTTCTCTGCTCCCCAGCCATGCCCCCTGTCCACTGGTGTGGGTCCCTTGGATCTCTTCTGCGTTAACCTCTGGCTCCTCCCACCCATGCTGACCACTTCACTTCACCTGATCTTAAGTCACAAGTCACCAAGCTGAAGGGAAGTGAGAAAGGCCCACAAATTACTGGGGCAAATGAAACTTTCCTTTAGTTGAAAGAGAAAAAGAGAACTCCTTTATACTGTGAAAAGCTGTTCTCTTAAGCTAAATGCTCCGAGTCTGGAGACATACAGATGCAAGGTCAATGGTGACGCCTCCTAAGTACTAACTACACATGATTAATAGCAAGTGCCAGCACAAAGCTTTCCGTGTCCTTGGTTCTACTTTTCCTGCTCACAGTACCATGAGCTAGAGAGGCTAGTACTATTGCACCCATTTGGTAGATGATCAAACTGAGGCATTAATGAGGATGAGTGATGGGTCTCCCATCACAGATCCAGAACTTGAACCTTGGCCATGTCCTGCTTTCTGTTTCCCTGTGGCTCACAGTGGCAACAGGCCCACTCCTCTGCCAACCGCTGCCCCAAATCAGACTGCCTCTGTCGCCTGTGGCTGCCTTCCTCACGGCCCCCTTACCTGCCGTGGTCGTAGTTCTCAGGAGCGTGGTACATGAAGACATTTCCTCGGGCCCTCCGGGCCCACAAGCTGGCCAGGTCGATCACGGGGCAGATAATGAAGTAGTCCCTGAGAAAATGAGAAGGTGGCAGTGGCGGAGGGAGGGTAGCTGTGGTGGTTACGCCGTGCTTTGGGGACAGTGACCCAGGCCGACAAAGACCGGTGTCCTTGTGTTCACCAGGCGAGGGTACTCCAATGGCACAGGTGGGCACTGATGAGCAAGTCAGGCCATAGTGTGGGGTCTGCTCTGGTTCAGGATGAGTGGGGATACCAGAACCAGCCCCCACCAGCAATGGCACATTAGGGGTTAAGGAATCTGGCCGATGAATATCTTCCAGGGCCAGCAGCAGTTTTACCCAAAGATCTGGGAGCAAAATTCATCACAGCAAAACACACGTAACCGTCAGCAGAGCTCAGCGCGGCAGAACCTTGACGGCTCTTTGTGCAGGTGGCACCCTGAGACCCCTGGCTCCCACCTGACCATCACTCTGCCACCTTCACCTCTTGGCACCCAGGGAACATTCGTTGGTGTCTCAATGGCACCACTGGAGAGGGTGGCTCCTCCTCTAGTGGGGAGGACCTGGGAAGCTGTCCAGCAAGTTCTAATGCACAAGGAACGAGCCAGCCTAAATGCCAGGCTGTCTCCTGCAGTGACATTTCCTATCCATGTTCCCTTTGTGGGTGACGCAAATGTGTTTATGAAACTGCAGCCCGTGACAGCCTGGCCCTGTGTGCAGTGACAGCCAAGCCTGGCGTGCAAGCCACCTGAAAGCGAGCGACTCAGCAGCTCCGCATGGCCTTGGCCGCTAACCCTTCAGCTGAGACACGGGGTGAAAGGGTCGCTAACCACCGAGACTCGGCGATGACCAAGGCTGGTAATGCAGGGACAGCCCCACAGCTGTCACGGGAGGCACCCACCGGCCTCCTGCTGATCGAAATGAGTGCTGTGGGTGCCTCTGTGGGTCAGGAGCACGCTTTCCTGCCGCAAGGCTCCACAGCTGATGGGGCTGGTGCACAGGCTGGGCCGGGCCGGGCTGGCCACAGCTGTGCTTCTGCTTATGGCCCCAGAGGAATCTGGGAGTGGGAGCAGGGAAGGGGATGGCTGGCTGCTCTTCCAGGAAGCCTCCCTTGGTTGTGCTGCCTTCTCAGATCTCATCTTTACCCCAGGCACCGAGGCTCTCTGGACTCCACCCGGTAGCCCTCTCCCCAACCCACTGGACAAGGCAGCCTGGGGGCTAGACACAGCTGCTGACAACCCGGGCCAGGGCACAGCTCTACCCAAGAGGGAACCTGAAAGTCACTGGGGCCCCAGGACCCCCACGGCTGAGTACCAAGTCATCCTGAGCGAAGGATCCCCCGACTGGAGCCACACCCCCTCAGCCAAGAGACCCAGAGACCCTCTGGCCTGCCCCTCCCAGCAGAGGCCAGCTCAATAGCTATCTGGGCCTTGATGTTGCTTCCGCTCCAGGGACAGGGAGCAAAAAGGGAGTGGAACCGTCACCCAGCAACCACAGAGGGGGGAAGGCAGGGATGAGTGGGTCCCCACTGTGGCCCCTGCCCCAGAGGCCTTTGAAGAAAGAATGACCCGAAATCCAGGTTCCCTTCCTCTCACTGTAAAGCCACTCCTTGCGCCTTTCTGGGGAATTACACTTTTGGCACCATTGAGAACCCCGCAGGTGCAGGAGGGAGCCAGGCCAGCCGTGACCCTGGGGCAGCAGCAGGGAAACCAGGCTTGTTCCAGGGCCCAGCCCTGGAGGCAGGGGTGCCATAGCACTGGCGCTTACCGCGTGGCGTTTTCCAGCGCCCGAGAGAAGGAGGCGTAGTCATCCGCTGAGTGCTCCAACGAGTAGTACCACGTGGCAGCGGCCAGCACACGCGCGTCCGAGTCCTCGCCACCCAGTGAGTTCTGCAACGCCTGGTAGAAGGCTGTTTTGCTGTTGCTCCGCCCTTGACTTTCCTCAAATTTCTAAAAAAAGAAGGAAAGTTAAAAAAAAAAAAAACAATACTGCACGATGATTCTTTGGCCAGATCCTGAAAAGTTCAGGTCAGTGTCCTGCTCACAAGCTTGTTCTAGAATTTTCTCTCCAGCAAGCAGTCTGCTGGGGTTTGAAGCCCAGCTCTGTCTCCCCTTTGCTGGGTGTCATTAACCAAGTGCCTTCTTCCTCCGTCCACCGCGGGGTGATGGGAAGGACTGGAGGGGTTAACACAGGGGAAGTGAGTAAAATGGCTCCGGTGAGCTGCTGGCCTGGCCTGCAGTCCATATTCCGACTGCTCTCACGGCCTGCTTCGTTTGCTGCCTTGGTCACGCACCATCAAGGGCTGTGCACACGTTTTTACTCAGCTAAAGATGTGCTTCACTCAGGGCCACGTGGAAAGAGACCTTGAGCCGGCGCAGGAGCCCCCGACCTGTCTCGGGGGGCTCTGGCTCTAGAGGACACAAACTGGAGGACGCAGCCGTGAGTGCGTGGCTCCCCAGGGACCAGCAGGGCGGGCTGCCGGGCTGTGGAAGGCTAGAGCCTGGGCCAGGGCCTGCGGGGTGGCCAGCCAGGCGGGAGCGGACCCTCCCTCTCTCCTCTTCTTGTCTCTGGGCTGTGCTGTGGGCATCTGGGGGTGTGACAGTGCCTTGCCCCATGAGCTAGTTTACGCCTGTGTGGGCACGAAGGGGAGAAGAGCGGGGGCAGCGCCTCGGCTGAGGATGCTCCTGCGTCATAGCTGGACATGGCTCTAGGGTCTGGGCTTGGCATGAGCTTTAATACTCACACTCACACACACTTGCACACACATACACTCACCCACACTCACACTCAGATTCACACCTGTACTGTCACATACATTCATTCCCTCCACACTCACTCACATGTAAACTCACACGTATATCAATTAGCCCACACTCTCACATTCACACACACTCACACACACTCACACACACTCACTCAGACACACGCATCATCACCAGAGGGCAAGCAGCTAAGAGGACGTGGTGCCCACATCCACGATGTAGGGCATGCTCCTCTGCCACAGACCACAGGAAATCCGGCCACTTGTGAGCATGTGGGTCGTGTAACAGGAAACAAGTGTGACACAGGACGAGTGCTGCACACTCCAGCCGACCGGGGAGCCTGCGCAAGCGGACCTCGCAGAGCAGAAGTGGTCTGGTGGTGACTAGGGGTCTGGGCGGAGAATGGGAGGGAGTGGGAAAGGGTGGTCCACGTTCAAGCATTACAGTCACAACACACCCCAGAATTCTTCCACACAGCGGAGGAATCTGTTACCAATCACAACGCGTCTTTTTCTGCTCCATTAGGAGCGAGGGCTGTGGTTATCACACACCTGCTCAAGAGGGTCGTACACTGGGTGCCCTGATCTGATCCTTGTTCAGCCTGCACAGAAACACCACGCTGGGCCCATGCCTGTGCATCATTGCTGTTTATTATACTTGGAAAGAAAACTGAGGACTCCGAGTCTGGAGTCAAAATGTAGGGTTTGGGCCTGGTGCAGTAGCCTTGTGGATAAAGTCCTCGCTTTGCACACACCAGGATCCCATATGAGCACTGGCTTGTGTGCCGGCTACTCCACTTCCCTTCCAGCTCTCTGCTTGTGGCCTGTGAAAGCAGTTGAGCATGGCCCAAAGCTTTGGGACCCTGCCCCCATGTGGGAGTTCTGGAAGAAACTCCTGGCTGTTGGCTTTGGATCAGCTTAGCTCCAGCCGTTGCAGGCACTTGGGGAGTGAACCATGAGTGAAAGAGCTTTCTGTTTTTCCTTCTCTCTGCCCTTCTAGTAATAAATAAATGAATCTTAAAAAAATATGCAGGGTTCAGGTGTCTGCTGTCAGTTCAGGGCAGTGTCAGGGAAGGTAATCCGCCTCTCTCTGAGCTTCAGCATCTTTGAAATGCCTGAGATGGTGCCAACACAGGCTGTGTCTCTCCTGCCCTCAGAGGAGATGCAGAATAAGAGGAGCCAGGAGGTCCTGGTGTGCAGGCAGGAGCCTGGGGCCTGCAAGCTGGGCTTGCCTCTTCCTGTCCTGTGGCCCTGGGCGAGTCGCTTCACCTCTCGGCTTCATGGATCAAGCAGATTATTAAACCTGCCTCACTGTGCTGTCCCCAAGCCCCCTGGCTCCAAGAGGAAAGCACCAAGCCACGCCCTGGGCCTCATCCTCTCTCAGGGAAGAGGGCTCCTCCTTGTTGGGAGTCACATTTTCCCTCCTCACTCTGTGTAACAATGAATGAGCAGTGAAGGTAGGCGGAGCCCAGCCTGGTCTTTTCTCGTGTTCAGGCTGCTTGTTCTGCTCTGAGCCCAAAGCAGGAGGGCAGGGATGTAGGTGAAGGTAAGGAGGATGGCCAGGCAGAACCTTCAGGTCCTTTGCTGACTGCCTGGTTTGTAAAGGGGGAATTACAGAGACCTCAGATACTGGGTGGGGCTGAGCCCAGAGTGGGTGCAACCAGAGTAGGAGTGGGGAAAGGCTGGGCTGTCTGCATCCGAGACTCCCCAGGCTCACGGGAGGCAAATCCACCTGCAGTTCTTAGCAGCGAGCAGCCACAGGATGACCAGCACTGCAGGACTGGGGGTTCATGCTCCTGCTGCACTGGTCATTGTTGTGCAAACCCGAGACATGACTTCCCTCTCCAGGCTATAACGCAATGATCATGCAAGCTATAACGCAAGAGGGCCACCGGGAGGCCCCTCAGCCAAAACCCCAGACCCTCCTACTTGGCAGAGGAAGTAGGGCTAGGACTGAATTGATAATAGCCTGCTCCCAGGCTGGTCTGCTCGTTACAACCTAGAGGAAGTGCGTGCTGGTGGTAATGCTGTTTCCTGCATTCTGAAACAATTTGTTAGGGCTGTGGCTGGGGATGACGAGCAGAGCTGCCCATGGAGCAGGCTCTCCTGGCTCATCCCCATGACTGGCTTGGGACACGTGAAGCACCCCACTCATTGTCACAGCTCTGCCTTACCCTGGCTGCTGGACTGGCATTGAGACCCAGGAAGTGACCCCAAGATCTGGGCAGTGGGGAAAGGGAGTGACACTGTGTTCTCCAAACGCCAAACAGGCTTTCCGCTTTCCAAGGCCATGCTGTCTCTTCTGCTTAAACACCTTTGCCTAGTTTGCCTGTGTAATGGCTTTAGGTGAGGCTCATATTGTTTAAAAAGAAAAATTTCAATGTGGATCCAAATAGCCTGGAAATCTGGATAAAATACAGTTCTGATGTTAGTGAGTCCAGGGTAGATTCCCAGAATATTCGTTTAAAAATGTTTCTGAGTTACTTATTTATCAGGCAGAAAGATGGGGTGGGAGAAGGCAGAGACACACCCATAACTCCTCTCTGTGATGGGGTGCAGCCGGGTGACAGCACCCCACAGCAGTGGGCAGATGCGACTCCATTTTGGTTCCTGTATAGCCAACCGCAGGTGGCTACTGCTCTAAACACTTGCTCACTGACTGGCTGAAGGACTTCTCTGAGCTTAAGTTGATAGGATACTTCATGTTGTGTACCACCCAAGCTGGTTTCTAATGCCTACCACCTAAGTTGATTTTATGATTTGTATTGCTCACCAACCAGAATGTGATTCACTGATTGGATAGCTTGAGAAAAAAATCCCCAGCTGTTACACACCAATAAGAGCTCAAAAAATCCCTGACTTCGGCCATGTGGCACAGTGGATGCTGCAGTGTGGGAATTGTTGGCGCCACACTTGGCTAAGAAGGACTCCTCCTGTACATCCAATTCTTGTGCCAATGTGATCTCTCTCGCTCTTCAGAACTTATCTACTGGCTTACTCCCCCAGATGCCCACAAGAGCCAGGGCTGGGTCAACCTGAACCCAGTAGCACAGACACTCCAACTGGATCTACCAGGAGGGTGTCAGAGACTCCCACCACTGATGCTCCTCAGGGTCTGAATTCGTAAGAAGCAGGAGTTAGGAGCCAGACAAAGCCAGGCATCAACCCAGGCATCGTAAGTCTCACAGTGACACACAACCAAGCCAGACATCTTACCCCTAGCATTTTCGTAAGTCCCCAGACAGTGCTGGCACCATGGGTATGGGGGTGTGTCCCTCTGGCCACAAGTGCTAAGACATCCCAAATTCCCTTTGGAGCTCTCTCCTCCAGGGAGCAGGGCAGAGCACAGTCCAGGGGCAGGTGCTGAGGTCAAACCATCTGGCTCCACACCCACTCCGCTCCTGGTTCTGGCTCTCAGCATATGCTGCCGTTTTCCCTACCTCTGCTTCCTTCCTTATGCAAAGTGGATAATGATTTTTTAAAAATGCCTGTTGCACAGTGACTGTCGGATGCCAATGAAACAATAAGTGTGAGTGGCTGCTACTAATCGCCTCGCCAGGCCAGACCAGAGGTCCTGTGGGCCATCTGGGTCCTGGTAAATCTCCAAGCCCTTTAGCTGTCACTTTGCCTGCTGTTGTGAAGGGAGGTGTCCAGGGATGCGCACAGTGCCAGATGCCAGCATGGTACCAGGTACTTCCTACACTGAATGTTTGAGTCGTGGAGGCTTTGACTTTTGTCCTCACAATGCAGGCCAGCAGGTAGAAGGAGGACTTTAAAGTCAGGCCCCTTGTGTCCACACCCTGAGCTGGAAAGATCTGAGCTACAGGGTGGCTTTGCTGCTTGTCAGCTTTGTAGCTTTGGAGAGCTCAAGCTAGCTCTCCATGCCTTTGCTTCCTTATCTGTGGAATGGGCATGGTAACACAGCTCTCTGCATAAAGCTGCTGAGATGTTCAATGACAGAAGACCCACAGGGGTCTGAGTACTGTGTCCTGTCGGCTCAACTCTGTGGCTGCTTCAAGAGGCCAAGAAAACCCAAGTCTCCCTGAGAGAGGCCCAAACATTTGGAATCTTCTCCTGGATCACTATAAGGAAGCAGCTGGTTGGGGCTGCCGCAGTGGCATATTAGGTTAATCCTCAGCCTGTAGTGTTGGCATCCCATATGGGCACTGGTTCTAGTCCTGGCTCTTC